AATATCCAGAATTAAGACTAAAAACAAATTTAGAATAAATGAGAATTCCGTCACAGATTACTTAATAATTACTATGTAACAGATACCTCTCTCTCATACAAAATTCAAAATACCTACGCTATAATAATCTGACTAATGATACCAAGCGCTCACTACGAAAAAGAAGGAACCTAAGCACACGGTCAGAGAAATGAAAATAACGTTGCACGCCGTGTGCAGTCGTGCGAAGCCGAATGCCCATAGATGAAAGACTTGTATGGGCGCTTGCGCTGACGTCGGCGAACTCAGCGGTAGGCACTTATCGCGTAACCTTAGGCGAGTGATGGAGCCCTGTCTCCGTTTGTGACATCAATACCATATATTATAATATGACAAGTATGGTAACTCCAATCAAAAGCGGCTTCTTTGTGTTCACGCACACATTTGCAAAATAATGAAAGGCGCGTGGGACAACCAGCGCTACGCAACGCAAGTTCATCGCGAAATTATGCGAATGGATGTGTTCGTACACGGCACGCGGTGGGCGCGAACATAATGTAACTCACATCCTCTCCAATTCTTGTAACTCTATCGACTAATATTGTAGATAGAGTTAGAAGAATTGGAGAAGATGTAGGTTACATTTTTATGTATCTAATGGAGCAATAAACATGTTTCATGTGTGACATGTAAACATGTGTAAGTCCACTTATGCCATTCTTCCATAAGGGGTGCGAAATATTTCAATTTTCGCCTCGCCTATGTCCATCAATCCAGACCATTTTCACCCAAGATGCACTAGAAGAGAATTGAAATTTGCCATACAAATTTCAATCCCCGCATCGCCGGTGGAAAAGCGCTTTATTACATTTTTTCTCACTTTGATAAGTTTCACTGTAGACTGAGAAACCTTATGAAAAGAAACACGTTAACTTTTATACTGTTTCTAACCAAATATATTGTTTCTTGTGAAATGCTTTAATTCATAAGTGATTTATATATCTATTATATGGAAGTACATAGGGGTACGTGTAAGTGGATTTTATGGACACCAAAAATGTTAGTCACGACCTGCCTAAATGGAATTCACTCTCGTGGACCCCCATTAACATCACATGTCCTTCTTGTAGGCTGGAGTGGATCCTTGGGGATCGATGTCGACCACGTGAATCATTGTTCTAGACGCAATAGTTTCTTTGCTAACGCCACAAAAAACGTAATCAAGGAACCGATTGGAAACATTCAATTAAAAAAAGTCGCATACTCTCGGAAACGTGATTTTTATGTCTAACAATGTATCAAAAGTTCGGCAAGACGTTGTGCATGACTCACCAATATTCCTTAATTACTCAAAATTAAATCAAATTATCCAACTTCCTCACTTGCGACTCCTCCCTGAAATTGATTTGCCTAGGACAATCTTGAGATTTTTAAATACAATAAAAATGGAAGTAAATTAATTTGCTATTTAGCGAATCTAGTGGAGGTTAAACCATGCGAATAGCTACGCTTGTGTTAAATTTTTTCATGCAGTTGATTTTCGATAAAATAATAAAATATATAACACAAGCGCAACTACATTCAGAAATACTACCGTATAAATGTACCATGTACATATTTTGATTCTCTCCGAGGCATCTTCAGGGGTTGTTGATTGTTCGACACTCGGCCAAAGAAACGAAGAAGATTTTGCACGACTTAACATTCACTGGGTTCGACAAACATCAATTAATTTATTTCCTTTTGCTTCACCTGAACCTATTCATTATCCCTATCTACTAACCCGAGAGATAGGGTATTCCGGAGAGACTACGGGCTCGACGGCAAGACCAGGGTACAGCGGGCGTCCGGATCAAGCCCTCCGCCAGTGATGCGCCTTACTGTTTGTGGTGAGCTGCAGAGACGGACATGTTTATCTGCCCATCTGGGGTCAGAACTTGAACTTATAAGGTTCCTGTGCGCGCACAGGTTACAGTGCCCTTCTCGTATACCCTAATAGTCGGTAAGGAGGGTCACTAGAATCAAAACTAATGTACAAAAATATGGGGATGAATATATTTCAGATCCACGTTAGTCGCTGCCCATGTAATATACTTTATAAGAGAAATAACTGATGGATGTGCCGAGTACCTGTAACGCCACGTTGGGCGCCAATGTAACCTGGGTTCCCTACCTTTCCCTAATAAGGGTGAAAATAAAAGAAGGTAGGGCGGTTAACTGTTTTAATTAAAAAATGAATAAATCCCAGGGTACATAAAAATTTATGATTACGTGGGCTCCGGCCTAAAGGTACGGATCGTTAGCACTCCCGGGGTTATGCACTCCCCTGGGTAAAGGCCGGCTGGAATGTAGATAGCCGGCGCCTTGTCGTGTCGGAGACGGAAGGTGTTGAAGAAGGGCTCCGACGGGAAGTGAACCCGGAACTGCGGCTGCCAGGCACGACGCGCGTCGCTTGTAGATGGTGTTGGCCACGTAGTGGCCGAGGGTTTTAAACCCTAACGGAGTTCCTGTAACATGTTACAGTGCGGGTATACTGCGCTGCTGTGCACGCGCCCGTTTCGATTCCGTCCCGGCAGCTTAAGGAATGCTTTACCCAATGAGGGAAGGCTTACGTATTAATCCTGCTGCCGGGAGAAAATCACGACGGAATTTAAAATGAAAAATAACAAAGGTTAAGTACTTGTGGGTAGGCAGAAGGCACCCACAAGCAAGAACAAAGCTAAATAAAACGAAATAAATAGAATTGTGAAATGACACGTTGACTAAAAGGAAAGTTTAAAAGGTCAAGTCACGTAAAACCGCGTGGCATCGCATGTGCCTTCGTTAATTACGCGGATTCATCAAAATTAAATAACTGGCTGCTGGATTGTTGCTGCCAGCCGTAAGGGAACGTATTTGTTCGACCTATGGATGTACAGGAACCGCGTAATTAACGAATGCACATTCCGCGACCGCCATTTTACAAAAATAGCGAATTACGAAAATAAGTGGTGTGGTATTGGAATACTCACCCGAATACGGGAACTTCTTATACTCACAAGTTGTTAATATCAAAAGCAATTGTCGTAGTTGCCGAAATGCGGATTTATATTTGCAATTTAATTATTTAGGAGCGCGCGTAGGCGATGCCGGCTCGTGAGAAATGTGGCGCGGACGCCGTCGCAACTCCTTTTATATGCGAGCCGCAGAGAATCCACGCGTGTGCCGTTAGCGCTCGTCTAACCGATTACGTAAAAAAAAAGTATGTAACGTTTTTTCGTTACAAACTATACGCATCTCGTGAAGACACCTCCATCTAAGGAAGTCGTTGTTTTAGATGCTACTGCTATAAGATTGACTTTTGTTGAATATCATGATGATATGATTTGTGAAATTACTCCTCTAGTTTGTTATAATTATTAATAAAAATATCGTACACAAAAAAAAACACTTGACAGGACTCCACACTTGGTTCTAGAGTCACCTTTGTGTACAAGGTTGTAGCTTTCCTGCGATCAAGAAACTGTCAAGCATAACTTTTGATTAGTTTTGCTTTTACTGCTTGTCGAAGATTAGCGTTAGGATTTCTGTTTTAGCATGGGAGAAAATACATTATTTCGAGGTCGCCATCAAAAACAAACGACGTGTCCTTCGTATTCCATTAACTGCCTCTGTGACTGAACCATACTGGTCTGCCAGGCCGAGAGAAATATTTCTACGGTCTACATTTATTTCTCTCGTGGGTTTGGGTGTAATTTGTGGTTGTCTATGTATGTCCATGGCACCCGCGATACAGGGTTTCCCTAGTTCAGGACTATGAGTGTGTGCGTTAATAATAATGTAATATTAATACATCAATATGATGAAAGTGGAGAAAATATTTAAGGTTAAATAACTAATGCTGTTGTTAATACCGCACCAAAGTTTGTCTGATAATTCATTGGATCCTAATTACGAGTTATAATGCGGTCCATTGATCTCCTCACCGTTGTTAAATTAATTAAGTTAAATGTTATAATGATGATTTTCATATTTCTGCTTCATCGCATCTTAGAGTGGTTACACACGGCGGCTTTTAGCAGCGATTCAAACGCGCGTTCCTGAAACGCGCGACTGCATCGATACAGTGGCTTATGTTGAATCATTATGTATGAAAAATTTGTGTAAGTATATGCACATTGTTTTGTAAATTGTAAATTTAAAAGTGTAAAAAATTAAATTTAAATTAGTTAATTAATTTAAAATCTGCATCGCGTTTGTATCGCGTTTCCATCGCTTTTGCATCGCCCTTGCATCGCGGTTGTGTATAAAGGTAGACGATTACGAACTGCATCACTTCAGCGTCGCGTTTGCATCGAGTTTGTATCGCTGCTAAAAGTCGTCGTGTGTAACCACGGTTACCGTTGCCTATGATTATATCCAGGTATATTTATCCAATCCAACACCGTGGTAGTCTAATGGTTTGACCTACATCCTCTTAAGCAAAGACAACGGGTTCGAATAAGGGCTCGCATCACTGAGTTTTCGGAATTTATGTGAGAAATTGAGTTTTAAATTTACCATGACCTTTTAGGTAAAGGAATACATCGTGTCTTACCTTCACTTCGAAGAAGGTTCACAACCCTTGGAAAACGTGTGAAGTCCCTAACCCTCATTGAACCGAAGTGAAAGATTATGGCCTAAACCATCGGTTAGGAGAAAAGCTGTGTCCAGCAATGGGAAGTATTAAGGGGTTGGTGATGATGATATGTATCCAGTACATGTACACCATTTTTCACATTTCCATTTTCAACAGCGTGTTTTTGGAATAATACTTATAGTATTTATATTGGTATTGGTATAGTATTTTTTCTAACAAACCAATGTTTCGAGCTCTTTGCAGGTCCGGATTTAGATCCAGGAAAAAGTTCAAATTTAGATGTTTACGTAGATTATCTTGTAGGTCGGTATACACAAGTTTGTTTTGATTATCACAAGTTAGACTACCTCTCCTCCCTTCTTCTTTTTTATCTTCTTCCCCATTAAATTATGTCTTATTTTGCAGGTCTAATGAACAAAACGAACATTATGCCAACTCCCGACCTCTGCGTAATAAACAACCGTTTCTTCTGGATATTCGGGTCTTTGGTTGCGTTCTACATCCCAATGCTGATGATGGTGGTATCCTTCGCGTTGACTGTGCAACTGCTGAAAAGACAGGCCTTGTTAGCATCTACTCCGGTTCCTGGTGGAATACAAAGAAGGTATTTTTGCATTCTTATTAAGTTATTATGCATTTTTTAGTAGTGTTTGACTTTTAACCAGCTGAACTTTCCCGTGGCCTTCGGGGTGCTGAAAAGGAATCCATTCCACCAATCAACAATTTACCTTACCAAGCACTAATGTGAGCATTATTGCTTTCCTATTTTGTAAGCTATGTTTGCTGGTGAAATCACACATGGGATTGTCAACTTATCTATTATCTCTGAGTGACGGGAGCAGTAGCGGTGCCTCTCTGATCTTTGTAATTTTAAGCTCCGAGTGGCACCGCCTCTACTATGGAGAAGCGCGTAGTACCGAGTGCACCACTTATTCGTTTCTTCACTTGGTATAATAAAAAATAAAAAAATCCTAGAGAGCTCAGATCATTTCAAGGCCTAAGATAAGGCCTTTATAACAAAGAGATATATAGGTACAGTATCGAACACCAAGGTAAGACACCAAAAACCTTCTAACTATAACATGTCTACATTGTAATAATACTCGTAAAAATCTTTATTCGAAATTGTATATTTAGCAGCTGATGTTATTGCGATACTAACACATACGCTCACACATGCATGCACACTTCCACAATCCTAAGAATTTAGTACACCTGGAGTAGGAGAACTAATTACCTGAGGTACGTATACAGGATTCCCTACTTCAGGAACCGGTCTCCACAATCAGATTGTATTACGATTTCATATAAAGCAATTATTTTTACTTATACTGTTTATAGACACAATTAAATAATTTATTATTATTTCAGATGTGGGGTTTTTTCGAAGACAAGTTCACATATACATTAGGTACAATTTTACGCTTGAAAACGTCAATTTTCAGCTAATACTATGGAATACTATTTGAATCATATTTGTGTTGAATCTAGACTCATGTCGTCTTTCCATATATCTTTATCTGACACGTAGTATTCAATGTAGTACTGTGACTTTTTAATTAAAATACTTTTAATGTAAATATTAAACTTAAGTGATGATAATCTTAATATATGCCCCGGAATCTTAATTGTAAAAACGTGTATAGTTCCCCATAAAAGAGTTGTTTACCTTATTTAAACGAAATCGTGGTACCACGAGTTCGGACTTAGTTCCAAGGTTAATAATTATGGAAATCTTCTTTCTTAATGAAATTATTATGTACTGTGTTGCCACGGCTCTCCTTAAACTTTTCTGTGAGAGAAACACTAGAACCTACACGGTACATAGAACGAATCGCTCGCTTTTGCAACACGAATATGGTTTGTAGGTATTTTTTGAGATTTTATTTTTTCAATACTCTGCTAATTAATGTGAGGTAATAATGTGCACACACTCATAACCCCGCACTAAGGAAACCCTGTATCGTGGGTGCCACGGACACACACATAGACAACCACAAATTACTCCCAAACTCACGAGATAAATAGAAATAGGCCATACAAATATTTCTCCCGGCACGGGAATCGAATCCGGGACCTCTTGCGTGGCAGTCCAGCAGGGTAACCGTTCAGCCACGGAAGTAGGTAGTGTAAGTTCACGTCTGACGTATATTTTTTATTTATTTTTTATAATATCAAGTGATAGGACGAGCAAGTCCTGCGCCTGATGGTAAGCTACACGCCTGTCCGTATCAGTTGCAGTGCCACTCAGAGCTTTAAATCGCAAAGACCTGAGAGCACAGCCACTGCGCCCGTCTCCCTGAGACATAAGTCGACAAGTCCTATGTGCCTGTAATTTCACCAGCACCCCTTACCCTTCTAAACCGGAACGTAGTAATGCTAACATTACTGCTTGGCGGCAAAAATAGGTAAGGTGGCAGTACTTCACTGGACGAACTCTTTCACAAAGAGCTCTACTGTTGATAAATTGTAATACTGTGTCTTTTTCCAAATAAACACATTTAATTAAATTGGATGAAACTTGAACATTGTTATTGTGAACTAAATTTGGGTTCCTTATACAAACTTGCTTACTTGTTTTCATGGACAGAGTCACCTTATGAAAACTAATTTAAACGTAGGTACTCATTTAACCAAACGATATAAGCATGGTTCTTATCTGTACAGAAATCGAATAACAACTAGTCCCCAGTTAATACCACTAGCAGCTCAAAATTTAAAATTTTAAGTTAAATAAAGTAGGAAATGAAACTATTTTTCCGGATTTAAATCGCGTATATTTGTTTTTTCAAACAAACCGACGTTTCGAGCCCTTTACAGGTCCCATGGTCACGGTTGACACGGTCAACATGTAATGTTGACCTATGTGTAACAATCGCGAAAACCTAAGAACTTAAATAAAGTAACTTTGCATGGATAGTCTTTAACCTTTAACATATTAAATAAGTTAACTGTATCTATAATTACCGTGCAATTTTAATTTTAAATTTTTGAACATTCTCTGATACGTATAAGTAGTGAATAGGCTGAAGATAGGTCTAATAATACGTCTGTAGTGATTCCAAGGCTGGATCGACTAAGACTTTGTAACGATGGGGCACTAAAGGTATGGGCCTATACAAAAAATACACGTTTTATTTGTTTCCTACTAAACTATTAGATTAATGGCGAAATGTGAAATGACAATATTTAATTAGGGCAATAGGAACTCTTGATTGACATTTTTTTAGAGGGGTATCGTGAAAAAAATCCAATGTCCGCAATATCGCTGATCCGACCCACTGTGTCGCAAAGTTAAGATAAATATAATGTACCTGCCTGTCCCCAATTACTTCAATTTTTAATGTATTTAAGTGATGTTCCGTATCCCGAACAGGTCCAGGACCTAAAAAATATTGTCGTAAGGCAGTCTCCATTTTCTGTCCATTTTCCTCGAAGTTTAGGTAATAAAACTACATATTCCGATCCATGCTTATTATGCAAATTCAGTAGGACAAACTACTCTGAAAACTTTTTCTAGATATTGTCTACAATAAAAATATTCATATTTTTGGGTTATCTTTGCACAGTTTTACGATAAAAGCAGGAATATTTTTTATATATTATTCATATACATAATGCAATAGGTTGGCAAAAAGTCCGAGCAGTTTTCGCAACTAGCTAACTTTTAAGAAAAAAAAATGAAACGTTATATTTTCCATGGTCATTTTAAAAATAATATTTTAAAAATGGGAAGTTTTAAGTTTATAATTAATGAAGAAAGTCCAAGACTAATGAATCGTCAAGGTGTCGTATTTCATCAAGAAACCTTGACTTCCTCATCCAGCGCCTTTAGCGTAAACAATTGCATTACCATTATTGTCATTTATCCTAGTCTGTTTGTTCTAATCGAAGTTTTATCCACTGATTGTATATTTTTCTACATCATCATCATGTTCGGTCTAAATCAGTGCAATGCTGGGTATAGGCCTCTTATTTATTGCGCCAACTTTCACGATCCGGCGCCATACGCACCCAGTGCGTTTCGTCCGACATATTCAGACTATCGGTGACTACTTTGGCCCATCTTTCTCTTGCCTAAAGAAAATTAAATATGTCACATCAAATAAAGACTACACCAGTAGACTTAAAAATGGTGTCTAACCAAATATCAAAAATTACGTCATGTATATTAGACACTTTCCTTACATAATCAAAGAAAAGTACGGGGTTAATAAAATATCCATCAACACGACACAAACAAGACGGATAACTATATTTGATTGCTCCTTTTATCAAACATTCTTGGGGCACAAATTTCCAAATTGCCGAAATCCAATTTATTTTGTGACAAATTTAGCGATTGTACAGACGCCCACAGTAATTTAGGTCTACGATAGTTTAAATTAATTTTCAGGTTTATACTTAGTTCAATAAATTTTCGCTGTAGACGTCGACTCTGGAACTGAAAATTTGTGTGTATCTCTGTTAATTTGTGTTCTAAGAATAATTTGTGAAATTTACTTATTAGGGTTATATTGCTGGGGGCCCAATAATTAAATGTTTTTGTTAGAACGCGTTCTCGGATAGTCCAAATTTTGTTCGATATAATAAACTTTTACTTTCTGAAATTTATGGAAGTGTTGTTTATTATTATTACGAATAATTTTTTTAATGTTAATAAGTTTGATGTAGTAGATCGGTGGGTTTCTTCAACCCACGTCCATACCGCATCGTAGCATTGCTCTAACCACTTGGTCCAGATACCGATTCTCCTATGTGTTTTTGCTATCGAGTCGCTAGTGACATCTATTGAGAGATTTTTGAATAACCGTCTCACCGCAGCCGATACCTTTACAGGTATCACAAATGACGCAGATCTCGCTTTTCGATCAGATGTATTTATTAAGTCTTTTTGTTCTAAGTTACAAGTTCATTTAAGCGGCAATGTTTACGTGTCTATACTAGGATTCCGGTGATATTTACAATTTGCCATTCACGAGGCTCGAAATATGTTTTACAAAATTTTGTAACAAATACTTTATACTGAAATTTATTACACTGCTTCTGCGTAGTCGGATGACTGAAACCCGTTGGCAGTTTAGCTCTTGTAGGTAGTCTCGAGCAATGATGTTTGAAATAAATATTGTAAATGATAAATGTGCACAAATGTATATTTAAAAAGAGCAACTCCTAGTAATAGTTCCTTGCTCATTTTTCATGTTTCCTTTTCAAGATGATTTCAAGTGTAATTTGCTCTACTGTTAAATTATTCGACTTTGACTTTAATTGAGAGGCCTTTCGTGTACCTATGATTTCCATACACTCGGAAGGCTGTTCGTATTGTCGATGATCCCCAACTCGCAGACGGTATGAAGTCCCTTAGCCTACAGCTACGGAGAGTTCCACCGTCTTTGTAATGGGGATTGCTCTGAGGAACTTTTCGAACTGGTGCCACAGGTGTCTCTACCATCGCACCTCGTGCCAAAGTGTAAAGTCCATCCCCACATCTTAGATGCCTTTTTTCTTTTTTTTTTGACGGGGGGAAATCTTTATTGTTACCTCTGAGCCCAGGGAGACTCAGGGGTTATATGGGGACTCTCCCTCCAGACTGGAGGGCCTACT